GTTATATGAATTGAAATAAAATTTCTCATTTTTAAATTTGAATCATTGAAATGATCAATTACTCTGTTGATATTCTATCGCTCTGTCGATATTTGATCATTTAACCATTTTGGATCCATTGTGAAAGCCAAATTAAAGCTTCTGAATAGCAACATGATCCTTGGGCTGTAAGTGTAGTCCCTCATTTTCGAGTAATAATATTTCATTTGTTCATATATTTGGACCAACTAGGAACTGAATTGACTTTTGACAATTAAAATACTATCATGTTAGCTCACCACATAATTTTGGGATTAAACAATATATCTTATAAATTTGAAAAAAAAATAAGCAATATATCTTATAAATTTGAAAAAAAAACAATATATCTTATAACATTAAAGTGAAAAAATGGGGGAAAAATATTTTGAACCCAAAATCTCTTGGAAATAAGTTCTTATATTAGAAAACCACAAAATTTCAAATGAAATTATTTACAAACTTCTGAGTAAAAATGGAAGCTGAGGAGCACTATCATGTAGTGTTTCTCCAGTTTTGTTTTTAATTCGAAGTGATAAACGATTCTATCCGTGTGTATTTAGCATAACGGTTAAAAATGCTCGGAAATGAAAAATTATGTAGTCAAACCAACACCAGCATTTTCTTAGAAAGGAAAAGGCAAATGAAAAACAATTTTTTTTTTACCAAACTAAAAAATTCAAAAGAAGTTTTACGCTTGTACTGTTACTAGTTACTGTACGTTAAAGTTTTACTCTCAGCCCACATTTTTTGTTTTGTTTTGGTTTGATTTGTTCTCTCTCTCTCTCTCTTCCCCTTCTCCCCTTTCGCCTTCCCATTTTGGATCTCCTCTTATCTCCTTCTATCTCATGGATTTCTTCTTCCCAGTCTCCCATTGATTTCTTCACCGCCTACGCCTCTCGATTCACAATCGCCACAGTTCCCGAGTGTTTATTTCAATTTTTTTTAGTGCTCTCTAATCTGTTCATCCCCAAATCGTGACTTTCAGATGATTAAATTCATAAATTCTTATTTTTTTTCCAACACTCTGGATTCTGGGTTCTCTGTTTCTGAAAATTTGCATATAATCCCATCTGGTTTTTTTTTTTTAATTGATCAAAAAAACCATCTTTTGTAAAAATTTGGTGTTTGAATTTATGGGTTTTCTGAAAAATGGTGACTGAATCTGGGAATGCTCCATTATGTTGTGGACCATGTGTATTGTGCATTCATGCACAGAACGAAGATAAGCCGTCCATTGTAATTCAATGGCATTCTTGGTGGAGGATGTTGGTGTTGTGCAGCTGAAAATGTTTCTTGGTCTGTGGATGTAGCAGTAGAAGCGAAGAGGAAGAAAGGAGAGTGAAAAATGTGTGAGGTGGCAAAATCTGGAGCATTAAATTAACTTAACATGAAATCAATCGCTAGAAAAATAGGAAGAAATGAAAAGGGATGGAAAATAGGAGGGCAGACAATCTTGGTCCACTTCTCTCAACCTCTGCTCTCCTGCTGCTGGGCTTGTTTCCTTACAATTTCTATGCATTTGGGCGCCAGTCTTGTTTTCTTGCGCTCTGCTCTTGTTGTCTTTAGGGTTAACACATTCATTTGTTATATAAAAAAATAATAATAAAAAAATTAAATTAAATTAAATTAAAAAAAAAGATGTCATTTCTTGCTCGTTCTTTGTTTTCTACCGAGGATAAATTCAGAATTGTAGTCTGATTTTTCACTCTAATTTACAACTAGTATTATAACTAAAAATCCTTTAATTGAGATATTTGAATTTAGCAAAACATGCACCTTTAGTCCTTGGCGTTAACTTTAGTTAGAAATTCTGGTAGTCTGATAATATGGCACACATATAGATCTTACATATCGAAAAACAAAAAATATACATCTTACATATCCAATTTTAGATATGTTTTCAAGAACACAATCTACACAAGGGTAAAAAGTTAATTGATAAATATAAACTAGGGTGACAACAAGGGACCAAATCTAAACTAGAGTGCAAATTCTATTTCCTGCCACAATCAAATTATGGAAAATTTTATGAAGTGTGAATGTTTTGTTAAATCCAAGGATCTTAATTGACGAATTTTTAGTTTAGAGACCGAATATAAACTACGGTGAAAATTCAAAGACAAATTCTAAATTTTACTATTTTATCACACGAGAGCCTAGTTGTTGTAATGTTGTTAGAGAGAAACTGAGAACCTAGTATTGGTGAGAAAAATATGCCAAGGTGAAGGATATCCCAAGTCTTTTATCAATGGCAAATGTAGGGTTTATATCTGGCAGCCACAATCTTAAGGTAAAGGATTTTGTTCTCAATCTGCGACTATTGCTCTATATCTTCTAAAGGGGTTGTGATTGAAGAGGGGGCCAAGATATCTTCGAGTCTATGAATAGCTCTGCCTTGCTGATCACACTCTATGTGCTTTAACGTTTCTACATGACACCACTTTGACATGTATAATCTTTGTGATACTGTTGTATTAACATCCTTGCATATATGATCTTTTGTATTATTGTGCCAGTATGAAATATCATTTTTGGTTATGCGACACCCCTATTCACCATCTTATGCTGACAATTTGTATTATATATCTATATGATTTCTAGTAGAAGCAAATATCTAAATACATATCAACGGATGGATCATGGATGTGACTTGGTTGCTAATATTGGATGAAATGGAATAATGATTCCCACTTTCAATTTAATATTTTTTAATGTAAAATTAGCTTGCGTTATTCATATTGTGTCAGGTACAGTGGCAGTTTTGTACATCTAGTCATCTTTTTGTTGTGTGAGACACTTATTATAACCCTAGGTATGATGCTCCCACATTTTTCCCATTTCCGGTTCTACTTCTTATACTGGCAATTAGCCTCTTTGGATTCTTTCTTCCGTCGATCATGTTATAAGATATTAATCTTCTCACAAGCAGATGAGTTCACAATAATGTACATTAATGCATGTTAGACTATGTAAAATTATCACATATCACACAATTAAGGCGCCGAGATTAATTAATTGGTGTAATAATTATTTTATTGCATGCCCATCTGAATTCTGAAGCAAGCTGCTGTGCTGGGCACATTATAGCCATTGTCATCGTCCATCTCATATGACCTCATATTTAACTAACGTCCTTCTCATGAGTGGTTATTGACAGATGAGGAGTCTGGAAAGAGTTGGGAGAATCAAACAAGTGAAGCTTTAGATTATTTGGTTCTCCGGGGAAATCTGAAAACTCCATGGAATCTTTTCCATTTGTACATTCTACCAAAAGAGAGGGCCCAAAGTCCAACAAGCAGCATACAGAGAAACTCTTGAGAGAGAGAGAGAGAGAGAGAGAGAGAGAGAGAGAGAGAGAGAGAGAGAGAGAGAGTTACATTATTAACTATGCAACCAAGGGGAAGGAGAGTTGGTTCACATGGGATCGCAGTTGAGAAATTACATCATCAATTGCTATCCCATTGTGCACTTAGGAAGATACAGCCAATCTCACAGGTTATCTACTGAGAAATGAAATTTGCCAGAACCGATCTTTGTGTCTAGTTTGTATGTGATGGAGTGACTAATATAAAATATTTCTTTTCAATTTGAATCCAGGTGGTGGAGAGAAACTTACATGACATGGATACACTACTATTGTGACATCTTGTGTCAATAATACGATGTTACATGGAGAGAAATTTTCCCGTCATTGTATTATTGACACAGGGCGGCAGAGTACCTGTGCCATGTACGTGCTCCTGAAGGTCTCATGCTTGTGGCTGCATATTCTGTTTCTCATGAGCACTAAAACTGCAGCCTGTACTCAAGAGTTGGCTGCAACATAGCCAGCATAGAAAAACGTTTGTCTCGTTAGACGTCCCCCAAGGGCCACTGTAATCACATCCCAATCCCTTCTTCTCCTTTCTTTCCATCTACATCAGATTAATTTGGAGAGGAAGTACGCGAACTTTGAAACAATAACAGAAAATGTACAGCAAGTATATACTCATCCAATAAACCTATAAGCTCAAAAGGATGATATATCCAACCACTGAAACAAGACCATCAAGCCAGATACTAGCTTAACAAAAAGAAACTTCATTTTTACCATTCCTGCTTTTAATTGAAGTAATATCAGTGTTTCCTATATCTCAAGCAGTTTCATCACCTGTTGTTTAAATTCCAGTGAATTTCATAAGAACTATAAATCGTTCTGAGATAATATGTATGTGTGTGTGTGTGTGTGTGTGTGTGTACTCATAAGTTAAGACCATCTATCACACAGTCGAATGGCATTCAAACATATACAAAAGCCCATTGTTATTCCTGCAACAACCTGTGTAAGCACAGCGGTAGTAGTCCTAGTCCACTTCACTGTACCATCTCTCTCTCTCTAGAAAACTGGCCTGTATTGCATACCATACCCTAACCATTAACGAATACAAGAACCAAGCTAGGGCTTGATTCCCAATCAACAAACACAGAATAATTATTGAAAACTCCAATTGAAAATTTTAAATCCAGAGAAAAGATTCAGATAATCAGATGACCAAATTTCACAATATATATTAACTACGGAAAACCTCCATTAAATTAATCATGTTGAGATGATGAACACATGTGTGCACATATGAAATCTTAAGATATTGGCAGATTTGAGTACGACCGGTAGTATAACTAATATCCAACAAAGTGCACGGCTAGGTATTGGCTCGATCACCAAAGTGCTAGTTGAGGAGCATGCAATCATCGTACTGCTTGGAGAAACACAAATTGTGTCATTCAAAAAACCCTAAAAACCCCAAATATCTGACATTTCCGTGCAAATTTTGCATAAAAATAGAAGAACAGATCAAGCATGAAAGTAATTAATCGATAAACCAGCCGAATTAATTATATATCCTAACGAATTATATATTGACAAGATAAATTAATTGAGATCATGAAATAATACCGTTTTATTTTCAGTAGCTAGGGATTGGTGTTATGTCGGAATTAGGGTTTTGATGGTCTCATGCTACCAACAACAGGTGAAACTGCCAGATGATCTGAGCTTCCCTAAACGAAGTAGGGAGTTATAAGATCATGCTGGCAGCTTCAACTGCTACCAGTGCATGATAAGAACATATGCACACTGGAAATTCCTTTCTGAGAGAGAGAGAGAGAGAGAGAGAGAGAGAGAGAGAGAGAGCTAGGGTTTGATGGCAAAAGAAGGAGGACGGGAGGAGGGTATAAATAGAGCCAGAAGTGGAATTACCATTTTATTTAGAATTAGATGGAATATTGGGGACTAAAATGCTAAGAAAAAATAATTAGAAAAAAAAAAAAAAATAGATGTAAGAGGATTTAAGAGGGAGGAGGGTGGTCCCGATTGTGTGTTGTTTGCATATTGAATATTATCACGCCAAGACTATCCCCCATGCAGTTTGCAGACAGATTAGTGAGTGTTTCCATATATTGTGTGCATTTACATTAAAGGCTTTTAGGTTTGGGCCTCGGGCATGTGTGGGGGACCCTAAATTCACATCTCTCTCTCTCTCTCTCACTCTGCAACTGAAATAAGGCAAAAGTATAAACCACGACCATAAAAGAGCCAGTGCAAAAGAGATGACTAGTGTGTTTAAATTTTGGGACCATTTTGTACGGTTATATAATATTACAATTACATAAATATAGGTATTGCCTAAAATGTTTCACATGAGAGATTTTTCAGTGTGACCAATATACGAAGTGGTACATCACGTGTAACTAAATAAATGGTGGAATATGTGTGCCAAAAAGTTAATAACTTAAAAAATAAAATTTCTCACCACTTCTATTAAAAACATGTGGTATACCACTTGTGTTCCATTCACAATGAAAATTTTCTCGTTTCACACATAAAGGTGAAAGAAGAAAGCACCACAATTCTCAACCCAAGAAAATGATCTCTCTCTTTCTCTTCTCTAATTAATTTCAGATATATTTATTGCATTAAATCCATTCCGTTTAAGTATCTTTCTTACTTCATTGATAATAGCCCTTTTCTTTGCAAAATTTCCATTTGTTGAATTCTTGGTACAACCATCTGATTGACGCCAGCTGCACCATACTAGTTATGGAAACATTTGATACCCTTCAAATTACAGAAGGAAAAAAACATTATTATCAAGAAAAGAAAATTTTGATACCGACATTTAGGAAAATGACTACTGTTAAGAAAAAGCTCTGGTTGTTTAAAAATTAAATAGTGTTGTCCCTTTGTTTTCTAGGTACTAGGTGTGACGATGAGACCAATGTATGCAACTACCCTTTGGCTTAAAGCTTATGAATAGTAGAAACTAGATGTTAATTGGCAACCTAATATATTACACTACAAAAAAAAAAAAAAACACCCTTTCGTCTTGAACAAAATAAGGTTTTCGTTGCTAAAGGTTTTGCCCAACAAAATTTCATCAGGCAAAAGTCGTTGCGCAAAGGTCTTAGCCGAAAATGTTGCCCGACGAAATTCTAGATTTTGTCAGACAAACATGTTTTGCCTGAAATGCGTTGACCAACTTAGCCCGAAGACAGGATTTTGTTGGGTTTGCCAAAATAAAACAATTTTTTTTTGGCTCAATGAAAAAGTTGTCGGGCAAGAAATTTAAAGAAAAAAAAAACATAATACATGCTTGACAAAAGTATTCGTCGAGCAAACTTTTTAATTTGACGAAAAAAGTGGTGGAATTTTAAAGTTTGCCCGACGAATTTGGTATTGTTGGCCGAAGAACTTTGTAATTTTCATCAGCCAAACACCAAAAATTTAAGAAATTTCCCTATTTTATTTATTTATTTATTTTCCAACTGTTAAAAGATCGTCCAATTTGATGATCAAGTCAACTTAGTGTGTGGTTTTACCCTAGCAACGTTTTTGCCAAAAAATCATCAAAATTAGAGCTAAAATAACCATTAATTCATGATGATACATGTGTAACTGTTGAGGAATTTCAGTTAGTTACCTACTCCTTGAAAGTTTGTTTTAGCTGATTTTTCGTGTATGCGATCTTGTGCTATATTCACAAAAGTGTGACAGTTGGATCGTTGAAATTAATTTCGTAGAGTACATATCCCGTCAACACAATAGATTTAACAAACACTTAGAGTTTATTATATACTTCTATTAAATTGATGATCGGTTCACTCATTGTACTCTTCTAGGTTGAGGAGTGTAGTTGCAGAAAAATCATCAAAATCGGAGCTAAAATAACCATTAAATAGTAATGATATATATGTTTGCAATTGTCGAAGGATTTCGTCGTTACCTAATCCCCGAAAGTTTGTTTTAGGTATTTTTGGTGTATGCGATCTCGTACTACAGTAAAAGTTAGATCGTTGAAATTAGTTTCGTAGCTTGCTTATCCCGTCAATACAATAGATTCACCAAACACTTCGAGTTTATTTTATACTTCTATTAAATAGAATGTTAGATTTTGTGGTAACCACTAGTGTAAACATTTTTAAATTGATGATTGGGTTCATTCATCGTACTCTTCTAGGGTTGAGGAGTGTAGTTGCAAAAAAAAAAAAAAAAATCGAAGCTAATATAACCGTTAAATTCTAATGATACGTTTCTAACCACCAAAGGATTTCGTTCTATTACCTAATCCATGAAAGTTTGTTTTAGATGATTTTTAGTGTATGCCATCCCCGATTATATATCGGCTATATTGACGGTTGGATTGTTCAAATAAATTTCATGGACTGTGAAAATCATCGAAGAAATGGAATATGCCAAAATGTCCCTCACTTTTGCCCAACGAAATATTTCATATTGTCCGACGAATTGTAAACCCCCCTAAACCCTAAATCATAAAATATACCTTTACTTGACGAAACTTGAAGGGTTAGTTGTGCAAAAGTTGGCATATTACGCGCCAGTTTTTTCCTTGGCACGAATACTTTGCCCATCAAACTTTTTCATTGGGCAAAGGTCTCTGAAAAAACGAAAACTTTGACCACTTCTACCCGACCAATTGCCGGGTAAAGTTGCTTTGCTTGTCGAAAATTACTTTACCTGACAGAAATTGGTTCGTCGGGCAAATGGTAATTTTGCATTGTGTTAGTGTCTAAAAGCGCAAATATGCCTAATCCTTTCTAGATTTTTTTTTTGAACAAAATAAAAATCGCAAATATGCCTAATCCTTTCGAGATTTTTGCCCACGATCGTTATTCCAATGACATTTTATTGGTAGAAATCTAGAATCTCAATTTCCAAAAGGACTTTTTGGGATATCATATTTCTTCTGTTTTGGTTTTGAAACTCATGCTTTCGTTTTCTTATTAATTAAACAAAAACACAGCATTTGTTTAATTTAGAATTCTTTCGTACAATGCAAATGAATATATTCCTTAAATAATAGGGTAATTTTTTAAATCAATGAAATGTTACAATGTTAACAATAAACAATATTTATGCTAATTATAAGATGTGAATGATGTATTGTGGTATACTAATGCACTTAAAACAAACAAAAATTAAAAAAATATGAAACTGCAGCCGGCACCCCTTCTCCTTCATATTTTTCATATTTAGGAGGAGGTTAATTCTCCAATTTTATGTTAATTATAAGTAAGTCAATTATATATTATGATACAATAATGCACTTAAAATACACGAAAATTACAAAAAATACGACTACAGCTGACATCCCCTTTCTCATATTTTTCATATTTAGGAGGAGGTAAATTACTAATCACAACAGTAATTGCATTGCAGTTTTCCAATCCAAGGGAAACAACAACAACAACAACACGAAGTGAGGTCGGCTATATGAATCCTAGAACGCCATGTGTCATGTCTTCTGTTAGATCCAAGTACTCTAAGTCTTTTCTTAGAGTCTTTTCCAAAGTTTTCCTAGGTCTTCCTCTACCTCTTCAGCCCTGGACCTTTGTCTCGTAGTCACATCTTCTAACCGGAGCGTCAATAGGCCTTCATTGCACATGTCTAAACCACCGTAACCGATTTTCTCTCATATGTCCTTCAATTTCGGCTACTCCTACTTTACCTCGGATATCCTCATTCCTAATCTCATTCTTTCTTGTGTGCCCACACATCCAACGAAGCATCCTTATCTCTGCTACACCCATTTTATGTACGTGTTGATACTTCACCGCCCAATATTTTGTGCCATACAGCATCGTTGGCCTTATTATCGTCCTATAAAAATTTTCTTTAAGCTTCAGTGGCATACGACAGTCACACAACACGCCGGATACACTCTTTCACTTCATCCATCAAGTTGTTTTCTATGGTTGAGGTCTCTATCTAATTCTCCTTTTTTTTGCAAGATAAATCTTAGGTAGTGAAAGCGGTCGCTCTTTGGTACTTCCTGGTCTCTGATCCTCACCCCTAACTCATTTGAGCCTCCATTTGCACTGAACTTGCACTCCATATATTTTGTCTTTGACCGACTTAGGAGAAGACTTTTAGATTCCAACACTTCTCTCTAAAGGTTAAGCTTCGTAATTACCCCTTCCTAAGTTTCATTTATCAACACTATATTGTCTACTAAAAGCATACATTAAGGAATATTATCTTGAATATGTCCCGTTAACTCATCCATTACCAATGCAAAAAGGTAAGGACTTAAAGATGAACCTTGATGTAACCTTACAATTATGGGGAAGCTTTTGGTTTGTCCTTCATGAGTTCTTATGGCAGTTTTTGCTCCATCATACATATCCTTTATAGTTTGGATATATGCTACTCATACTCCTTTACTCTCTAAAATCCTTCAAATAATGTCTCTTGGGACCCTATCATACGTGTGGAGCAAAAAATAATCAAGAAAAATATGGAGGCTTCACATGGACTTTTGGGTTAAAAAGACAAAATTACCATTAAGGCACATTGGGATTCCCACGCGCATGTAACGGACAATAACGGCTCAATTGAGGTCAAAGGTGATCAAAATGGTATTCTTTTAAAACCCTCTCATCACTCCTCATTAAATCCTCACCCACAAGGTAACTCCTAATTATTCTTTTCAAATTGGGATTAATTACCAAATTAATTGCAAGATATTATTTCACATAATATCTTGCAATCAATCCCACAAATCAACCATATGTGGTCGGTCGTAATTCTCCTAATAGGGCCGGCCACAGCCCTATATATA